CACTACCCCACCCCCACACTGCTCTGCTCAGGGGAACCCCAACACCCCCCCACAGCACACAGGACCCGGGCCCTGTCTCCCTGGGAGCTCAGCATGGGGGGGTCCCTCAGATTCCAGGGAAGGATGGGGGCTCACAGGGGGCTGGGGCAGAGGAAGCATCATTCAGGCTCAGGGCCCACCCCCCAGGCTACCCCTTGCATCTCCCCCACACCCTGGCACTCACCCTGGCCGCCTCCTGCCCCCAGCAGCTGTGCCAGCCCCATGCCCCCTGCGTTGCGGCTGAGCCTGGGGTGGGATCGGAGAACAGCAGAGCAGAGAATCTGCCCACCTCACCCACTACCTGCCAGCAGGGGACAGGGGGCGGCTGTGGGGCTCAGGGCAGGGGCCAGCTGCATCACAGGGAAGGGGCTACGGGCTGCACGTGGGGTCCAGCCAGCCACAACCAGGGTCCTTCCCTCCCATCGACCACCCCAGGGCCACCAGGACCCAGCATGTACCCAGGGCTTTGAACCAGGCCATAGACACCCCCCACCGCCAGACTTGCCCATGGCAGGTGCAGGGTTAAACACCCAGCAGACTGGCGCCCTTGCCCGCCCAACTCCCACGACCGGGCACCATGGGAGGGGGGATCACTGCTGGGCTGGAGGCCTGAGAGCAATTTATAACCGGGGAGAGAGGGGGCAGGATGGGGCCCCTGCGCCTGCGAGGCAGCCAGCTCCGCCAGGGCCAGGGGGCCATCGCAGGCAGAGCCCCACGGGTCCAGGCGGGCTGGTATTCCCCCTCTCCCATAGGTCCAGCCTGCCTGGATCAGAGCCATCCAGACCAGCAGACACCCCTGCCCCCAGCCCTGGGATGGGAGTGGGATCTGGTGAGTTAGAGAAGGAGGAGGCGGGAGCCAGGACTCCTGGGTTCTATCCCCGGCTCTAGGAGGGGAGTGGGGTCTAGTGGGTTAGAGCAGAGGGGGCTGGGAGCCAGGACTCCTGGGTTCTCTCCCCTTAGACAGGGAGTGGGGTGCAGGGGGTTAGCTGTACCCATTGGTTTGCTCTGGGGCAGCACGGATGGGGGCCATGGGGCCCTGGGGGCCAGCTAAGCCCCTTGGTTGGAACTCGTGCAGCATCCTCCTTCCCCACAGGCGGGGGCAGGAATAATTATGTACTTCCCCCACTGCTTCCTGGGCATGAAATGCAGCTTTACCTTGAATCCCAGAACCCCCCAGGCTGGGACAGAGCAGGGGGGGACATCCCCCTCCTCACACGTGTAACGACTGAGGCTGCTCAGTGCCGGAGAACCCGAGCCCTGGGGTGCCAGCCGCACCCACTGTACCCCGCACCCACTGTATCCCAGCCCCGGGCATCCCAGTAACACTCAGACACAGGGCTCAGGGGAGGGGTATTTACTAGGGCCGGCAGCAAAGGGGGCAAGGGCAGATCCCCCAGCCCAGAGGCAGCTGCAGTTCCAGGGAAGCGATAGCTGCTCCCGTTCGGGCCCCCGGGGAGGCCCAGCGGAGAGTCCGGACCCAGCAGCCGCATGCCCCCGCTCCAGCCCGGACTCCAGCCCAGCCACTCGGTGTCTGTGGGTTTCCAGGCCAGGCTCAGGGAGTCCCTCTCCTTGGGCTCCCGGCTCTGGGTCTCTGCTGCTCCCCAAGTCCCAGGCAGACCTGCCCCGGCTGGGACGTCTGGCACTTGCAACCTATTCCACTTGCGGCTCTGGCACCATTCCTGGGCTTCTCTCCAGCTGCCAAGTGGCTCCTGGCCCCCAACCAGAGCCCAGCCCCCTCCCGGCTCAGCCCCTTCCCCTGCGGCCGCCAGCAGGAAGGAGACAGGCTGTGGGGAGGGGGCTGCTTGGCAGACCCCCCATATCTGATTCCCCAGGGCTCCGCCTGCCCAGCTGGGAGCCAGAACCCCACAGCTCGCAGGACGATCCAGCCCCACTGAGCTCTCCGGGACCCACACGGGCCCAGCGAGCTGCATGGGGAGTTTGTGTCCCGAGCCGGTGCGAGAGCCGCAGGGCCTGGGTAGCCGGAGGCTCTGGCGGCCGGGGAGGAGCCGTGCCCACGGGTGCCACATGCAGGGTCTCTGCTGTGGGAGACTCCTGGCAGTCAGGGGCTGTGGGTGGTGGGGTGACCGGGCGCCCGGCCCGTCACACAGGCGTGGTCCGACGCTGGACAGCGGGTCTGGGTCAGCAGGCAGGGCTATGGGTGGTGGGTTCATAGAGTCACAGCTCCCAAAGCCAAAGGGGTTCACTGCGATCATCGGGTCTGATCCCCTGTACAGCAGGGCCAGAGACCTGCTCCAATAATCCCCAGAGCAGATCCTGGAGAAAACCAGCCAACTGTGAGTTAAACAAGGCCAGTGGTGTAGAGTCCACCAGGACCCTTGGGAAATAGCTCCAGGGGTTTATAGATTCATAGATACTAAGGTCAGAAGGAACCATTATGATCATCTAGTCCGATCTCCTGCACAACGCAGGCCACAGACCCTCACCCACCCACTCCTGCGAAAAACCTCACCTACGTCTGAGCTATTGAAGTCCTCAAATTGTGGTTTAAAGACTTCAAGGAGCAGAGAATCCTCCAGCAAGTGACCCGTGCCCCATGCTACAGAGGAAGGCGAAAAACCTCCAGGGCCTCTTCCAGTCTGATCTGGAGGAAAATTCCTTCCCGACCCCACATATGGCGATCAGCTGAACCCTGAGCATATGGGCAAGATTCACCAGCCAGTTACCCAGGAAAGAATTTTCTGTAGTAACTTAGATCCCACCCCATCTAACATCCCATCACAGGCCATTGGGCCTATTTACCATGAATATTTAAAGATCAAGTAATTACCAAAATCATGTTATCCCATCATACCATCTCCTCCATAAACTTATCGAGTTTAATCTTAAAGCCAGATAGATCTTTTGCCCCCACTGCTTCCCTTGGAAGGCTATTCCAAAACTTCACTCCTCTGATGGTTAGAAACCTTCGTCTAATTTCAAGTCTAAACTTCCCAATGACCAGTTTATATCCATTTGTTCTTGTGTCCACATTGGTACTGAGCTTAAATAATTCCTCTCCCTCTCCGGTATTTATCCCTCTGATATATTATAGAGAGCAAACATATCTCCCCTCAACCTTCTTTTAGTTAGGCTAAACAAGCCAAGCTCCTTGAGTCTCCTTTCATAAGACAAGTTTTCCATTCCTCGGATCATCCTAGTAGCCCTTCTCTGTACCTGTTCCAGTTTGAATTCATCCTTCTTAAACATGGGAGACCAGAACTGCACACAGTATTCCAGGTGAGGTCTCACCAGTGCCTTGCATAACGGTACTAAAACCTCCTTATCCCTACTGGAAATACCTCTCCTGGTGCATCCCAAGACCGCATTAGCTTTTTTCATGGCCACATCACATTGGCGGCTCATAGTCATCCTATGATCAACCAACACTCCAAGACCAACACTTTTCCTCCTCCGTTACTTCTAATTGATGCATCCCCAGCTTATAACTAAAATTCTTGTTATTAATCCCTAAATGCATAACCTTACACTTCTCACTATTAAATTTCATCCTATAACTTACTCCAGTTTACAAGGTCATCCAGATCTTCCTGTATGATATCCCGGTCCTTCTCTAAATTTATTAGCAAACTTTATTAGCAAACTTTATTAGCACACTCCCACTTTTTGTGCCGAGGTCAGTAATAAAAAGATTAAATAAAGATTGGTCCCAAAACTGATCCTTGAGGAACTCCACTGGTAACCTCCCTCCAGCCTGACAGTTCACCTTTCAGTAGGACCCGCTGTAGTCTCCCCTTTAACCAATTCCTTATCCACCTTTCAATGTTCATATTGATCCCCATCTTTTCCAATTTAACTAATAATTCCCCATGTGGCATGGTATCAAACGCCTCACTGAAATCTAGGTAAATTAGATCCACTGCGTTTCCTTTGTCTAAAAAATCTGTTACTTTCTCAAAGAAGGAGATCAGGTTGGTTTGGCACGATCTACCTTTTGTAAAACCATGTTGCATTTTGTCCCATTTACCATTGACCTCAATGTCCTTAACTACTTTCTCCTTCAAAATTTTTTCCAAGACCTTGCACACTACAGGTGTCAAACGAACAGGCCTATCTTACCTGGATCACTTTTTTTCCCTTTCTTAAAAATAGGAATTATGTTAGCAATTCTCCAGTCATATGGTACAACCCCTGAGTTTACAGATTCATTAAAAATTCTTGCTAATGGGCTTGCAATTTCGGGTGCCAATTCCTTTAATATTCTTGGATGAAGATTATCTGGGCCCCCCGATTTAGTCCCATTAAACTGTTTGAGTTTCGCTTCTACCTCAGATATGGTAATGCCTACCTCCATATCCTCATTCCCATTTGTCATGCTACCATTATCCCCAAGATCCTCTTTAGCCTTATTAAAGACTGAGGCAAAGTATTTGTTTAGATATTGGGCCATGCCTAGTTTATCCTTAACCTCCACTCCATCCTCGGTGTTCAGCGGTCCCACTTCTTCTTTCTTGGTTTTCTTCTTATTGACATGGCTATAGAACCTTGTGTCACGGAGTCCCTGGGCGATGCTCTGGAACTGCTCCCCATGAAGCCAGTCAGGACTCTGGGGCAGTCGCCTTTCTGTGAGCAGCCTGTCTTCAGGACACGCAGCTCACACAGCTTCCACCTTCCTGGGTCTGACCTCGGAGCATTCAGCATCCTCTGCCCCTCCGTGCGCTTCCCCCCAGCGAGTCCGCTCAGGCGGGGCTCCTGGGGAAGCCAGAGGGTCCTGCACCCCAACTTCGCAGTCAGACGTGACTCTCAGCCAGCCAGTAAAACAGAAGGTTTATTAGACGACAGGAACATGGTCTAAAACAGAGCTTGCAGGTGCAGAGAACGGGACCCCTCAGCTGGGTCCATTTTGGGGGGCAGTGAGCCAGACAACCACGTCTGCACTTCACTCCATGTCCCAGCCAGCCCCAAACTGAAAACCCCCTCCAGCCCCTCCTCCTCTGGGCTTTGTTCCTTTCCCGGGCCAGGTGGTCACCTGATTCCTTTGTTCTCCAACCCTTCAGCTCTCACCTTGCAGGGGGGGAAGGGCCCAGGCCATCAGTTGCCAGGAAACAGGGTGTTGGCCATTCTCTGTGTCCAGACTCCTGCACACACATGCCCTCTAGGGCTCTGCAATGATCATACACCCTTACTCCACCCCCTAGATACTTAAGAACTGCCTAGGGGAAACTGAGGCACCCCCACACTATTCAGAGGAAACATTAAGAACAGTCCCACTTCGTCACACCTTGTACTATTGGTTTTAATTCCCTTTGCAAGGTCCAACTCTACTTGACTTTTAGCCTGTCTCACTTTATCCCTACGTGTTCTGACCTCAGTAAGGTAGCTTTCCTTGCTGATCCCTCCCGTCTTCCACTCCCTGTATGCTTTCTGCTTTTTCTTAATCACCTCTCTGAGATGCTTGCTCATCCAGCTTGGTCTACAACTCCAGCCTATGAATTTTTTCCCCTTTCTTGGGATGCAGGCTTCTGATAGCTTCTGCAGCTCTAACTTAAAGTAATCCCAGGCCTCCTCTACCATCAGATCCATAAATTCTTCAGTCCAATCTACTTCCCTAACTAATATCCTTAATTTTTGAAAGTCAGCCCTTTTGAAATCAAAAACCCTAGTCACAGATTTATTTTTGTTTATCCTTCCGTTCAGTTTGAACTGAATTAGCTCACGATCGCTCGAACCAAGATTATCCCCTACAACCATTTCTTCTACGAGGTTCTCACTACTCACCAAAACCAAATCTAAAATGGCATCCCCTCTAGTTGGTTCAGCAACTACTTGATGAAGGAATCCATCAGCTATCGCATCTAGGAACATCTGAGCCCGATTATTATTCCTAGCACTCGCCCTCCAGTCTATATCTGGGAAGGTAAAGTTTCCCATGATCACGCAGTTTCCATTAGTATTTACTTCATTAAAAACATTAAAGAGGGCTCTGTCCATATCCACGTCGGATCCCGGCGGTCTCTAGCACACCCCAAGCACTATCCCAGGGGAGGCTCGAGTAGTTTTCTTCCCCCATGTGATTTTTGCCCAGACGAACTCTGTCTTATCCATTCCATCGCTTCATACTGCTTTACATTCGACCTCCTCATTGATGTACAATGCTGCTCCACCACCTTTACCTTCGTTTCGGTCTTTCCTAAACAGCACCTACCCTTCCATACCCGCACTCCGGTCACGACTACTATTCCACCATGCTTCTGTTATCCCCCTCACTGGCAAAACTTGGCGCCTTATCTCCAGTCCGGCTGAGCAGCACCCGGCCTCTCACACCGGCAGGGTCCGACACTGGTCGGCGGGGTCCGGGCCGGCAGGGGCGGTGGGGTGACCGGGCGCCCGGCCCGTCACACAGGCGTGGTGTCACGTTGGCAAGCAGGGTCCGGACCGGGCGCGGGGTCTTCTCCTGGGGAGACAGAGGAAGGTTTATTCCGTGTTCCCGATTTCACGGTGTGACACCCCCCTTCACCACCACCCCGTGGGGTTTCCCAGCTCCCGGAGCCCCAGACCGAGTCTCTGGGGGCCCTGCCCAATGGACGACGGCTCCGGCGACTGCCCAGCCCCAGCCGGCCTGGCGTCGGGTGGGCACAGAGGGACTGGCCGCCCCTGCTGGGTTCTAGGGAGGCGGCTGCGTGGGGCGGGTGACCGGGACCAGTAGACCAGGGGCAGGGCCCAGCCAGCGAGGGACCCCCGCCACCCCCCAGTGAACCCACAATGCACTGGGGCAGGGCAGTCCCCGGGGGTGGGGGGAAGGAATCGGTCCCTGTGTCCACTCACTGGGAGTCGGGGTGAAGCCGCTTCTGCCGGAGTCTGAAATGGAAGCAGAGAGCCCGAGCGCATCACGACCGGGCACGGGGGGGGAGGGCTGAAATGGTTGGGGGGCCCCCCGTCCCTCCAGCAATCCTGGCCCCACCTGAACCCCCGTCACAGTGACCCCCATCTCCACACCCCCAGCCAGCCAAGGACCCCCCCCTCCAGCAATCCCTGCCCCACCTGAACCCCCCCTTCCTAGTGACCCCCAACTCTACCCCCGGCCAGCCAAGGACACCCGCCCCACGGTGATCCTGACCCCACCTACCCCAGCCCAGCTCATCACCCGTCTCTGCCGAGGCAGGAACCCGCCCCACCCCACACCACAGCCCTTTGCCATGGGGCTACCCACTCCACCCCACGGCCCTGTGACCTGGCCCCACCCCGCCCTCCCAGAGGAGATTGGCACCCTCTCCGTGCCCCTGCCCAGGTTCTGCCTGATGGGAACCTCCTCCCCCGCCCCCCGTCGCTCCCTTACCCGAGCGCTTTCTCCTCCACACCACGAAACCAGCCACCGCGGCACTGGCCCCAGTCAGCGCAGCAAGGCCGAGGGTGGCCAGGATCCCGGGGGCCAGGCCCCCCAGCTCCCCGGGCGCTGCAGGGACAAGGAGAGATGGTCACTGGGGCGAATGGGGGATTTACTGGGCGTCTGACTCAGGGCCCTCCCCGCTCTGTGTCGCTGCCCATGGGGGGCCGAGTGACCCCCCCGCCCCGGGCAGGGGGACAAGGGCCAGGGTCCGGGTCACGCTGGAACCAGACGGCTTGGCCTGGGATCTCCACCTGTGGCTGGCAGGGCCCTGAGCTGGCATGGGGAGAGCCAGGATGGGCCATTAGCCCCGGGCAGCCCTGGCTGTGTCCCTAAAGCAGGCAACATCCCCGCAGAGTCCAACTTCAGCCGGCCCCGCCACACACAGCGGCCGCGAAAGGTGGGGGCTGAAGTCACAGGCCCTGGTCGGGGGGGAGCTGGGCTGCGGGGCTGCCCCAAGGGTGCTCGGGGGCCCGCACAGCAACGGGGTCACTGCGGACAGGCCGGGGCAGAGCCCAGCTGGGAACCTGGGACAGTTCCTGAGGGCTGGATACGACCCACTCCTGGCTGCTCCTATCATGTGTGTTGCAGGGACACCGGGAGAGTCCCTCATCCATGTGACGTTTCCTTCTCCCTCTGCTGAAAGGCACAGATGGGAACTGCTTGGAACGGTTTCCATCCTAAAGCGTCACTTCTGCGAAACAGAAACGGTTCCGGGCAAAGGGTCAGTTTTAACCAATTTCCCCTTTTGGAAAAGTTTTGAAATTGTCAGACGTCCTGTTTCAGCGTTTTCGTGTGAAATCCCCTTTCTCAGCTCAAAACAACTTTTCAGCGAGACAAGTAAGTGAATTTACAGTAAATAAATGTTTTTTTAAAAAAAATCGAAGGTCAAAACTGAAACCAAACATTTCAAATTTCTCAAATCAAAGTGTTTCCATTGACCTGAAGAGAAAGATCCTTTGGATTTTCAGTTTGTGAAAGTCTGAGATTCTCCCATCCTGCAGCAGGATGAAAAGCTGGAGCGTGTGGAAATCTCAATGTTTTTCCCAGGCTGGGAGAACGGTTCCCTGCTCGGCTCTCGTCCGACCCCAGAGAGGAGCAAACGCGCAGCCATGGGGACAGAGGAGAGGGAGACAGACACTTTCCATGCCACGCGTGGAATACGAGAGAGATTCCCTCAAACCACCAGGAATCTTAAACATGTCTCATCAAAAAGCGACGTAGAAAATCAGCACCTGATCGGTGGAGATGGACAGGGCTGGCCCCGCGCTGCAGAGACCTGCCCCAGCTCAGGAACGGACACGGGGATCGAGCCCCAAACAAAGCATGTGACCCCATCCTGGGTGGAGAAGGGGGATCGTACATGTCCCTGACAGACACTGCGGGCCTCCGGCTTTTCCTCACACCTGGCAGCTCCCAGCCGGTGGGTCCAGCCAATAAAGTGTCCTTGGGGTGAAGGGGCTGAGCCCAGATTGGTAACGGTATTGAAGTCAATGGAACTTGGGCCCCTAAATACTATAGCACCCAGCCCTGGAGCCCCAGCTGTGCCGGCCATGGGGAGAGGGAACCCCAGCCAGTGCCTGACAGAGACTCCTGCAGCTTCCCTCCTTCCTGGCTAACCATGTAACACCGAGCTCCAGTTTCGACCAGGCTGGAGGCAAAAGCCTTCCCCCCGGGGGTAATGTGAGACAGGGTAACGGCCAAGCCCTGCCCAGTGGGGGCTGAGCTTGGAGTTCTCAGGGTGAAAGTCTCCTGTTCATTGGGAAGGAGCCGTCCCAGCCCCCCCGCAGCCCGAGGCACTGACCCGTGGGACGCTGGACCCAGCTTGCTGCAGGCTGCTCGCGGGGGCACAGACCAGTGCGGTTTGGGGCAGGCCCCTTTCGGGGGGGCAAGGGGGAGAGACGTCTCATTCCCCCAGCTGGGGAGCAAACCCAGCCGGCCTCCAAGTCCTTGAGAGGCCTGGCTGTCGGGAACCTCCAATGTGGGTAGGTGGGTGGGAACAGCGTGGGGGCCATGGGCGATGGGGGCACCTGGCTCCGGCTGCCAGGTCCATGGGCGATGGGGGCACCTGGCTCCGGCTGCCAGGTCCGTGGGCTTCACTCCGGTACCTGCCCCGGGCAGGAGATGCAGCCGGACGTGCTCAGCAATGGCTCACGCTGGAGACCCGCTCGGGGGTGGTGCCAGCGGGGGTCCCACCCCTGCCCCGAGAGAGCCCATTACCCGTGGTCGCTAGCGCCTCCTGCAGGCCGCGGTGCTGCACTCGGCAGGAGTAGCTGTGCCCGTCCCCGCCCTGCTGCGGGATCCCCACGGACCTCTGGAGCTGGGACGGGTCGCTGATGGGGGGCGCTGGGGTCTCCTTCCCATCCCGCACCCAGGAGACGCGGATGGGATGTGGGTCGAAGCCCCTGGCGCGGCAGGAGAGGGTGGCGGAGCCGTCAGGGGCGTCTCTGCGGGAAACCGAGACCTCGGGGAGACCTGTGGGCCGGGGCGGGCGTGGGGGAAAGAAAAGGCCACACAGTAAATTTGTTCTGCTCTGACTGTTAAGTCCTTGGTGCCTGGACCGAGGGGGACGCGCCGCCTCCAACCCCCCCATTTCAGTGGTTACAGGACACGGACGTATTTACACCCAAGGCTTAGAGAGCGACACGTCCTGGCGGCCTTATACTGAGCCGAATGGCCGGCAAAGGGGGGAACGGATGTAGCTCCGCTCCCAGACCCCGAGGGAGGTTCAGCCCTGCAGCCCTGGGCTGCCCCGCTCCCCTCGCAGCCCCGCTGCCCCCAGAACCGGCGCTCGGGCCGTGACCGCCCCACGGTTTTAGCACCATGAGCTGCCCTGTCAGCCCCGCGGAGCGGAAGCAGCGAAAGGGAACATCACAGCTACAAACACCACCCCGGGCGCGGCGGAAGGGGGGGGCTGCCCGGACAGGAGCGTTCCGGGCGCGGCGGAAGGGGGGCTGCCCGGACAGGAGCGTTCCGGGCGCGGCGGAAGGGGGGGCTGCCCGGACAGGAGCGTTCCGGGCGCGGCGGAAGGGGGGGCTGCCCGGACAGGAGCGTTCCGGGCGCGGCGGAAGGGGGGGCTGCCCGGACAGGAGCGTTCCGGGCGCGGCGGAAGGGGGGGCTGCCCGGACAGGAGCGTTCCGGGCGCGGCGGAAGGGGGGGGCTGCCCGGACAGGAGCGTTCCGGGCGCGGCGGAAGGGGGGGCTGCCCGGACAGGAGCGTTCCGGGCGCGGCGGAAGGGGGGGCTGCCTGGACAGGAGCGTTCCTGGAGCAGCGGAAGGGGGGGCTGCCCGGACAGGAGCGTTCCTGCTAGTTACACGTGGCACAATTAGCGACTCCGTCCACGCCTCGGACGTTTGTCTTCACCGCGTTACTGCCCCCGGGGGACTGACCCGCCGAGGAGGAGAGGCACCTTCGGCCTGGCATGGCTCAGAGACACCCCACGCGGGAGCGAGGGGCTTCCCGGCCAGCTTAGCCCTCGGCTACAGCCCCAAAGGGGGGCGGCGGTGGGGAGCCCCATCTCAGGACATCCACGCTAGGGCTCCCGGAGATGCTTTTCGAAGGGCACTGCTCACACCGGTGCAAGGCGCTGTCTGGTGCAAATCAGGCCACGCAGACACCGCTGTGGAGCGCCCACTCCTGGGGGGGGCTGCCCCACAGGGGACTTCCCTCCCCCCCCCCGAGTTCCGCCATTTGCCCCCCCTTACCCGCGGTGAGCGCCGGCTCCCGCAGGCTGCTGTGCTCCACCCGGCAGGCGTAGCCGTGGCCCCACCGCGGGGGGATCTCCAGGGACTGCTGGAGCTGGTAGGTGCCGTCAGCGTTGGGCAGGATCCCGCTGGCGTTCCTGGGCGGCAGGATCTCCGCCCCGTCCCGCACCCAGGAGACGCGGATGGGACGCGGGTAAAAGCCCCTGGCGTGGCAGCAGAGGGTGGCGGAGCCGTGGGGGGTGTCTCTGTAGGTCACCGACACCCCTGGGGGGACTGGAGGGGAGGGGAACACGTCAGTGGGGTGCAATCAGCCCTGAGCCAGGGCGGAGCAGTCTGCAAAGCCCTGAGGACTAGCGGCCACGGGAGCGAGAGAGGGGCGCTCACAGCTCCATCATCAGCCGGCGGTTCCCTCCGGCCCGTGCAGCCGGCTGCTCGGACTCACCCTGCCGTCCCAGAGCCTCCGTCCCACCCCGCAGCAGGCTCCTCAGCGTGGCCACGCACTCCTCCTGCAGGAACTCCTTTGCAAACAGGGTCCAGGTGTGACCGGCGTCCCAGAAGAGCGTCTCGTTGAGGGCTCCGGGCGCGAGCGGCACCCACGCGGATTGGTTTCTCTCCAGGACGAGGAAATCCTGCCCATCGAAAGCAAAGCGAAAGTGGCCTCGCACGGGGGTGTCCCCGTCCAGCACACAGTTCACATGGAGCTGCAGGGTGTGGATCCCTGGGGGAGAGACAGGGCGGAAAAACGGTGCAGGATATTGTCTAAGTCCCGGTACATCTACGGCCCCTGCCCGTCCCAGTCGCTGCAGGACCTGAGCCCCTCCCCATCCCTAACACACGTATCCCATCACCCTCTGCCACAGGGCTGGGCCATTGTCCCTGGGTCACAGATGGGGAAACTGAGGCCAGCGATACAGAGTGACTGAGCCCAGCTTACACAGGGCGTCGGGTGCATCCCGCAGAGAGCCCATCGCTCCATCTAAGTCCAGAATGGGGTGTCCGGCCTCTGCGGAGAATCCCCTGCGCCCCTGGCTGAGCTGATCCCAGCAGGAGTTACTCCTGGTTAAAATTAGCCCCTTTGAGTCTGTCTCGCTGCAGCCTCCAGCTCTCACTCGAGGCGGCTGGGATTCAAGCTCCGTGTGCACTCGGAAATCCCGGCCCACGCGGTGTGACAAAGTGGGGGAGTTTCTTGTTTTTCCTTGTTTCCTATGGGGGATTTTCTTGGTTTTCCTATGAGTTGCATGCAGAGGGGGTGGGACTCAGTTTCCCTCGGTGCTGCGGGTTTAAGGAGGTGATGGGAGAGGGAGTTTGTTGTTACAGAGGACCGGCGAGGGAACTTGGGACCCCAACCACTGGCGTGGAGAATGGAGACCCCAGCGACTGGTGACCTGGCTCAGGAGTCCCAGCCCGGTCTGGCCGGTGGGGGGACAATGGGCTGTGAAGAGAGGAGAGGAGGCCCAGGGGACCCTGTTTACCTGGAGAGAAGACAATGGACAGAGGGGGGGCTTGGGGCCGGTGATAGCTGATGCCCAGCTGGGAAGCAGGGGGGCTCGGGGCTGGAGGAGGGAGCAGGCAGAGCCCCCCTGGATGCAGAGGAGACTGGGACGTGCTGGGCTGAGGGAGGCCAGGTCTGAGGCCTGGAGAGTTTCCTGTGCTGGGTTCAATGCTCAATAACCCTTCCTGTTTTATGCTAGCTGAGAGTCACTCCAGCCTAGAGAACAGGGGGGCATCATCCCCTTTCGGGGGGGGTGGAGGCCCTGGGGGTCCAGAGAGAGGGGACTCCCTGAGGGGGCCCACGACAGGGACAGGCATGCTTTAGCTCAGAGAGGTGCGGCTCCAGGAGCTGGAGGGGCTTAACCCCGAGAGAGAGAGAGTGGACCCCCGGGAGAAGGGCTGTCGCACTGAAAGGGGCACCCCCCCACGGGGCCAAGAGTAGGCACGATCTGTGAGTCCGTGACACGCGGGTACTTACAGAGTGGGATAAGTCACTGCACAGATCCCCCGCCCCGTCCCGGGGCCTGGTTCCCAGCCAGCCTCTGGCCACAGAGACCTGCCTCTAGGGAGCAAGAACTCGGCCACGCTCCTGCCGCTGCTCTGATTGGCTGCTCTACCCCCGGAGGCGGGGCAGTGGGGAAGGGCAGCCAATCAGGGCTGGAAAGCTGGTGCAGGTTCCCGCGCCCTGGGGCTGCCGGCGGTGAGGTTGTGGGCGCTGGGAGCTTGGCGCGGGGGCAGCACTCACCGCCGGTCTGGTTGTGCTGCGCCATCCACCGGCGAGTCACCACTCGGGAGATGGCCTCGTAGAGCCTGAACTCCTCGGTCTTCTTCCTTAAATATCTCACGCCAACGGCCTGCAGCGCCCACTCCTTCAGGGGTTTCAGCTCTCGGGTGTCGCTGCTGTAGGAGGCGAGCTCCAGACCGTCCAGCTTGGCGAGCATGAAGAACTTGTGAGTCCCGCCCAGCTCGTTCAGCCCGGTGATCAGGATGTCCAAGCTGTGGGGCTCTGGACCAGCGGGAAAGACAAGTTAAGGGCCCTCTTATCCCTTTACCCAGGGGAGGAGGGTTTGCCCCCATGGGTCAGGCTGAGCCCCCATCTCCAATCACACCCCATTCTTAACCCCCCTCTGCTACCCTCAGCGATAGGGCTTGCAGAGAATCAGTGGGAAAGAGGATGCAGCAGCCATGGGGGTCAGAGCAGTGGGGCAGGGCTGTCCCCAAGCCTCACCCATAATGCCAGAAAAACCAGAGGCTTCTGCTAAAATGTTCCGCGGTGACATACTGAGCAATGTCAATGTGTACCATCTCCATCATTAAGGTTCAGGGTTAACCCACCCATTGAGATGAATGGGGCAGCTCAGCCCTCGCAGGGCTGTTGTCTCAGGCTGGCTGTATCCAGTGAGAAACCCTCCTGTCGGGGGTGACAGCTGGGAGGTTTTCTTGGCCCACAGTTTCAGGGCCAGGAGTTTTATTATAGTTAGAAATGGGAGCGGAGAATAGGAAGAACCTGAGGGAGCTGCCAGAGAAGGCTGTCACTGCCAGTGCCCCCATGGGCCTGCTCAGTCCAGACCCCCTGGGGAAGGGGGGCATTAGAGGCAGAGGAGCAGAGCCCCTGGGAGAGAGAAACCCCCTGGGCTGAGGGGGAGTTGGGTAACTACGGCACATGGTGGGGGTCGAAGACGCCCTCTGCAGAGTGGCACAAAGCCACCTCCGGAGGGCCAGAGAACACAGCCGGGGCGGCAACAGGGGCTGAAGTGGATGAGGGACAGTTTGGTGGTTGGGGGCCAGGTTGGGACTCCAACGGGTGCCAACACCCTTAACTCTGCCCCCTCCGTGGATGCCGGGTGCTACACGCACTACCTGCAGGGGCACCGGCTGATTTTCTCTATGTGCTAAAGGTGTTGGGGGTCCGGGGGGAGCAGGAGTTCCTGTCTGAAGATGGATGGATTAACCCTTGTCCCGACTCTGTGACATGAGCAGCGTTATCCTGCGGGTCACAGCTCGGCCACCTCTTCCCGGGTTGTCAGGAGGCCAGCACACGGCACCTCCCTGACCCCTGGGCCACCCCCAGCCACATGTCGGGGTCCTTCTCCAAGCCTCTCTGGCACTAAGGGCTTGTCACAGCCCCCCCGCCCCCCACCCTCCAGTGGCCGGCTGCACCCCAACGGGACACGAGTGAGAGGCAGGTTTCAGAGCAGCAGCCGGGTTAGTCTGTATCCGTAAAAAGAACAGGAGGACTCGTGGCACCTTAGAGATGAATAAATTTATTTGAGATAAGCTTTCGTGAGCTACAGCTCTCTTCAACGGACACATTCAGTGGAAAATACAGGGGGGAGATTTATAGACACAGAGAACAGGAAACAATGGGTGTTGCCAGACACAGGGTAACCAGAGTGATCAGGTGAGGTGAGCTATTACCCCATGAAGATGTGGGGAGAGGGGGAACCTTTGGTAATGATAATCAAGGTGTGCCATTTCCAGCACTTTACAAGAACAGCAGGAGGGGGAATAAACCCAGGGAAATAGTTTCACTTTGTGTAATGACCCACCCACTCCCAGTCTCTAGTCAAGCCTAAATTAATTGTATCCAGTTTGCAAATTAATTCCAACTCAGCAGTCTCTCGCTGGAGTCTGTTTTTGAAGTCTTTTTGTTGAAGAATTGCCACTTTTAGGTCTGTAATCGAGCGACCAGAGAGATTGAAGTGTTCTCTGACTGGTATATAAACCCAGAAGTCACCTGCTACAGGACAGGCCCAACAAAGATAATAACAGAACGCCTCTAGCAGTCACCTTCAGCCCCCAACTCAAACCCCTCCAACGCATTATTAAGGATCTACAACCTATCCTGAAGGACAACCCATCGCTCTCACAAATCTTGGGAGACAGGCCAGTCCTTGCCTACAGACAGCCCCCCAACCTGAAGCAAATACTCACCAGCAACAACACACCACACAACAGAACCACTAACCCAGGAACTTATCCTTGCAACAAAGCCCGTTGCCAACTGTGTCCACAGATCTATTCAGGGGACACCATCACAGGGCCTAATCCCATCAGCCACGCTATCAGAGGCTCGTTCACCTGCACATCTACCAATGTGATCTATGCCATCATGGGCCAGCAATGCCCCTCTGCCATGTACATTGGCCAAACCGGACAGTCTCTACGTAAAAGAATAAATGGACGCAAATCAGACGTCAAGAATTATAACATTCAAAAACCAGTCAGAGAACACTTCAATCTCTGGTCACTCGATTACAGACCTAGAAGTGGCAATTCTTCAACAAAAAAAACTTCAAAAACAGACTCTGAGGAGAGACTGCTGAATTGGAATTAATTTGCAAACTGGATACAATTCACTTAGGCTTGAATAGAGACTGGGAGTGGATAGGTCATTACACAAATTAAAACTATTTCCCCGGGTTTATTCCCCCACCCCACCCCCTTCCTCAGACGTTCCTGTCAACTGCTGGAAATGGCCCACCTTGATTATCACCACAAAAGGTTCCCCGCTGGTAATAGCTCAGCTTACCTGATCGCTCTCCTTCCAGTGTGTAGGGTAACCCCCATGGTTTCCTGTTCTCTGGGTATATAACTCTCCCCCCCCCTGTATTTTCCCCTGAATGCGTCCCATGCAGTGAGCTGTCGCTCAGGAAAGCGGTTCGTCTCTCAGGTGCCACGAGTCCCCCTGTTCTTTCTGAGTTAGGGGCAGCGGCTCCCAGGCCAGTCCCCCACCCCAGAGCTCCCAGGCCTGGGCCCCGATGCCAGGGCCCCGCCGCACCGGCCAGTCTCCACAGCGCCGCGCCCCCCGCACAACCCGCACCCCAGGCCTGCCCCGAGCGGGGTCCCCGCTGCCCGTCACCCCCAGGCCCCTTCGCCCGCCAGCCCCGCCCCTGCTGAGCGCCCCGGACCCACCCTGTGCCCCCTTAGCCAGGGGCTGCCGGAGGTCCCAGCCAGTCCCGTCCCCCCACCCCAGCCACGCACCCGCAGCGGCTCTCGGCGACTCGCCCCGGGCCCCGGACCCCCTTCCCCCGCCCTGGGCCAGCGTCCCGGCCGCGCCCTGCGGGGAGGGACCCCCGTCCCGGGCCAGCCGCGCTCTCCCACGGCCGGCCCCAGCGCAGCGTCCCCAGCGCCTGACCCGCCGACGGGACGGGACCGGCCCCGCTGGGCGTTTCTCTCCCGGGTTTCCAGCCGGTCCTCCCGGGTCTGCTCGTCCCCCCCGCGCCCCACTTACCCCCCGCCGCCAGCGCCCCCCAGCACAGCCCCAGGGCGAGGACCAGCGCCATGGCACCGCGGCCGGGTCTGCCCACACCGGCAGGGGAGAGCCCGCTAGCCCAGCCGGCGCCCAGCCCGCCCCGGTCACACGTGGGGCTGGCCCCGGCCAACGGGGCCGCCGGGCGGGATCTCTGGGCGGAGCTCCGCGCGGCCGGCGGAACCGCCTGCTGCAGGTGAGCGCCGGGGGGCTCATCCCCCCGCCGCCCATCAGCCAATTCGGGGGGCGCACGGCCTCCCTCCCCCCACGGCCCCTGCATCCCTGCACCCCTCAGCTCTCATTCCCCTGGACCTGGGGTTTGTGTGTGCCCCATTCCACCCACACCAGGGTCCCCTGTTTCCTTCCCCTCCTGGGGTTCGGTGTGTGCCCCATTACCCTTATACCAGGGACCCCCATTCTCCCCCACCAGGGATTCTGTGTGCCTCATTCTCCCACCCACCAGGGGGTTCTGTGTGCCCCATTCACCCTGGGCAGGGCCCCCCAGTTCCCTTCCCCACACAGGTAGGTGGGCCAGTGGGTTCGATCCGGGGCAGTGGGGACAGGGCGGGATACCACGGTAGATGGGCCCCTTGGGATACATTCCCCTACACTGAAGTTCATGCTCCTAGCAGCGCCCCCCCCCCCCGGGGAGCTTCCTGCCTCGCTGAGGGGCCCAACACCTGCTTGTCTCCTCCTGATCACAATCAGGCCTCCAACCAATCCGTGGCCTCCAGCCCCCTGGCTGCCAAAGCCCCTGGTCTCTGATTGGCTGGACTCCCTGTGTGGGGCAGAGGCTGCTGTTGGAACAGCGGGGCTGAGAAAACCGCCAGGGTTCCCCCCGCGCCCCTGCCCCGCACCTGGCCGTGGGCGCCGAGCAGGGCCCGGTGTCACGGAGCTGCCTGTGAGCTGCCTGCCCCCCAGCACCCCATGCCGCGGGGAGGCAGGTGGCAGCTGTGACCCACAGGCCCTGGGGACATCGCAGCCCCAAACCTGGCACCGAGCCGCAGGGAGCCTGGCTCCTGGTACCCGCTCAGCCTGGGAGCGCACCAGTCAAAGTCCACAAGTGCCAGATGTGACGAAGTGGGACTGTTCTTAATGTTTCCTCCGAATATTGTGGGGGTGCCTCAGTTTCCCCTATGCAGTTCTTAAGTATCTAGGTGGTGGGGTAAGGGTGTATGATCATTGCAGAGCCCTAGAGGGCAGGTGTGTGCAGGGGTCTGGACACAGAGAATGGCCGACACCCTGTTTCCTGGCAACTGATGGCCTGGGCCCTTCCCCCCTGCAAGGTGAGAGCTGAAGGGTTGGAGAACAAAGGAATCAGGTGATCACCTGGCCCAGGAAAGGGACAAAGTCCAGAGGAGGAGGGGCTGGAGGGAGTTTCAGTTTGGGGCTGGCTGGGACATGGAGTGAAGGGCAGACGTGGTTGTCTGGCTCACTGCCCCCCAAAATGGACCCAGCTGAGGGGTCCTGTTCTCTGCACCTACAAGCTCTGTGTTAGACCATGTTCCTGTCGTCTAATAAACCTTCTGTTTTACTGGTTGGCTGAGAGTCCCATCTGACTGCGGAGTTGGGGGGCAGGACCCTCTGGCCCCCCCAGGACCCCGCCTGAGCGGACTCGCTGTGGGAAGCGCACGGAGGGGCAGAGGAGGCTGAATGCTCCGAGGTCAGATCCAGGAAGGGGGAAGCCGGGTGAGCTGTGTGTCCTGCAGACAGGATGCTCCCAGAAAGGCGACTGCCCCAGAGTCCTGACTGGCTTCATGGGGAGCAGTTCCAGAGCATCGCCCAGGGACTCCGTGACACCAGGGCATCGCCCAACTCCCGAGACCTGCGGCTGGTGGCACCCGCCATCGACACCCCCGCGGCGCAGCGAGGGGCCCGGTGGGCAGCAGCGGGCGCCCGGGGGCTGAGCAAGCCATGCACAGAGCAATGGGAAGGGTGAGGCACGAGGGGCCACGTGCAACGCGTGCGTGGCCCAGCCGGCGAGCCCCTCGTCGCAGGCAGGGCAGGGCCAGAGGCAGCCGACTCCCTCGTCACCTAATGCGCCACCCGCAGGAGGGTTGGGAGCCTGCAGGTGCCGCCGGGGGGCTCCCCGCACCGGCCCACGGGGGCCCACGGGGGGGAAGGGGGGAGGGAGGTGGCGTACTGCGCGGGAAACTACCCACAGCCTCGGCCCGTCAGAGTCTGCCCGTGCCAGGCTCGCGGCCCTAGAGGGGGAGACAGACGGGGGGTGCGTTGGAAGCAGAGGGCGAGTGACCGGGCCCCTCGGTGGTGGGGGTGGCAGCCGGTGCAGTCAGTCTGGGTGGGGCTGGGAGGACTCTGGTGTGGGGGTTGCCAACCCTCCAGGATGGTCCTGGAGTTTCCAAGAATTACAAATTAGTCTTTCATTAAAGATTACGTCATGTGATGGCACCTCCAGGAACACGGCCAACCACAACGGGCCACCCCACTGGCTGTGTGGGGGCTGGGCTGGGCTGCCGAGGGCAGAGTGTGTATCGAACGCAGCCTGGTAATAAACCGTTTGATTTACCACCCACTCCCCGTTCCTGCTCGCAGCCTGAACCGGGCTGATGCCCCGAGCTGGGCCGCTCGCTCCTTCCCCGAGGCTCGACCCCTCCGTGGGCCTGCCTCTGGCTGGGGCCCTGCTGGGGCCTCCTGGGGGCCGCAGCCGCTGGTGAGTACGGGAGGGAACAGGAGGGGGCGAGGCGGGGCTGAGGCCTGGTACCCAAAGGCAGAGCTGTCCGACCCACCTCCTGCCCGCCGTCTGCTGGGAGCGAGACAAGAGTGGGAGCCAGGCAAGGCCGTGGATTGATTGAGGTGTCGCCTTCCTTCCCTCTCCCATGCTCCGGCACGGCGGGCGCTCGGCGGTTCTCCAGCCCCAGGCCAGGCTGGGCACCAGCCCAGAGATTGCCTGGGGGGACATGGGGCTGGGTAAATAACGAGGCCGGCACCGTGGCTCCCAGACAGACCTGGGACCGAAGGGGGGGATTTTACAACCCTGAATGTTTGCAGCCTTTGGCTCAGATGCGGTGGGGGTGGGGGGCTCCGACCTGGCGCCAGGTGACTTTCCCAGTGGGATGAGACTGTCCTTCCCGCGGGCCCCTCCGCCTCTCGGCACCTTCTCACCCGAGCCCGGCGAGAATTTTGCAGCCAACATGTTTTTTCAGCCAAAAAAGCCGCTTTGGCTACGCAAACATTTGGTGAGCTTGTGTTGATGTAGCCAAATGCTCCCCTCCAAAAACGCAACTCTTGCGGGGGGGGAGGGGGGAGGTTGTTTCAAAATTACTTTTTCTTTTGAAATGTCCCAAAAACATGAAAATCATTTTAAAAAGCTCGGAATCTAAACAACTCGTTCTGTTTGAGACTGAACAAAACCTTTGTGTCCCTTGGAATTAATTCTTCCCTCGCCTGAGTCACTGAAAAATTTCGGTTTTGGTTCAGCCCTCAACACGTCGTTTTTGAAAGCGCCAGAGGCCCAGAAACTCCTTTATTCCCACAGCTGCACGGGTGACCCGGCCACGCTGTCTCCTGCCAGACCACCACTTCCCTGGCTCGGTTTCTCTCTCAGTTTGACGGTTGACTTGGGAGTGTGAGAAAGCTGGGTCAGGAACTGTCCCGCAGCTCCGGAGAGCACCCCCAGCTCCAGCCCTGTGACATGGCTGGTGACCTGCTTTCGAAGAGCCGTCACGGGCGACTGGCAGGCGCTGAGAAGCAGGAGGCAGAGAGCACAGCTGCAGTGGATGGACCTGCAGGTGCAAAGCTGGTTTAGAGAGGGAGCTGGAGGTTGGGACTGGCTGGACCCACCAGCAGCCCCTAGCTAAGGGGGCGTCCAGCTGAGCCGGGGCAGGCTGCATCCTTGGGCAGAGGGTGGGTGCCCAGCAGGGGCAGGGCTGGCGAGCGACGAGGGCTGGGGTGACGGGCCGCAGGGACCCCGCTCAGGGCAGCCCTGGGGTGCAGGATGTGGTGGAGCGGTCGTGAGGAGGTGTGGAGACTGGCTGGCAGGGGCCAGGGAGTGGGAGCTCTCGGGCAGGGGACCGGCAGAGGGAGAACAGACCTGGGGATGCGGTTAAAAGCTGCCCGGACACAGGGCTCTTCCTGGCCTCTGCCAGGGGCCTGGGTCCACCCCTGAGCAGGCAGGACGGATGGGGGTCTGGCCTGGGGCAGAACGGATGGGCAATGTGGCTCGCTCTGGGGACTGAAGGAGGGGGAAGTAAGGCAGGCCCCACCTGTCACACTGCGGCTGGCTCCGGGAGGGCATGGGGGGTGGGGAGGGGGGCTACGACAAGCCCTCGTGCCAGAGACTCTTGGAGAAGGACCCTGACATGTGGTTGGGGGTGGCCCTGGGGCCAGGGAGGTGCCGTGTGCTGGCCTCCTACGCCCCGGGAAGAGGTGGCCGAGCTGTGACCCGCAGGATAACGCTGCAGTCTCCATGACATCAGCGCAATGGTTAATCCCGCTCCTTACCACAGGAACTTTTGCTCCTGTTCTCCCCACCGAGGCCTTGTGTCCACGCAGGGATCTCTTAGGCCGTGTCTGCCCTGGTGGCGGCCAGTCGGTCCTGTGGGCCGCCGGGAAAGGCAGGCTGTGTCCGCACCGCGGGGTGGGAGGCTCTGGCGGGGGGAGGCAGCGGGACGCAGGTCTGCCACACACAGCAGTGGAGACGTGGGAGGTCGCGCTCAGGCCTGTAGAGAGCCGGGTCGGGTCTGGCCTGTCTGCACTCGCCTACGCTGGGCCTCGCCGCCTGCGCGGCTGGCGTCCCCATGGCAGCAGAGCGGGCAGGGGCCATACGAGACACACTGCCCACCTGTGGCTGCAGCCTTTAAAATAGCCGGTGCCCCTGCAGTTAGCACCTGTAGCCCCCGGCATCCTCAGAGAGGGCAGAGTTAAGGGCGTTGGCACCCGTCGGGGTCCCAGCCTGGCCCCCTAACCACCAAACTGTCCCTCATCCACTTCAGCCCCTGTTGCCGCCCTGGCTGTGTTCTCTGGCCCTCCGGAGGCGGCTTTGTGTCACTCTGCAGAGGGCGTCTTTGACCCCCACCACGTGCCGTAGTGCACCAGTGGTCGCCCAACTCCCCCTCAGCCCAGGGGCTTTCTCTCTCCCGGGGGCCCTGC